AAAATTTCTTGACTCTTCATCTTAATTTTAATAGATGTTGTCAATAAAAAGCATCAACTTTCTTTTGTGTATTTATAAAATCCTTAAATGGCTCTCACGTGCATTTATTAATATTATATCCATACTATTATATAAGATATTTCAATCTATTTTGGCACAGCCTTGAATTTAAGACTTCTTTGACCTTAAATTCTTAATTATTATCTACTTCTATAAAAGAAGTATCATTTATGTCCTTCTTGATATATCTATTATCTTATATGGCTTAAGAAGAGATATTTGGAATATAAGATGGTTCTTCATAAACTCCAATAGGTGTAATCAATAAAAAATTAAATTGAATTATTTACAAATAATATAATATCTAAGTCTATAATAATATAACTTGTCATAAAGACAATTAGTCTTGATATTACAATAAATTAATTATATTATATTGACAATGTAAAATTTAGTTGGTTTTTACAATGGATATTTCTATTGATCTTTTAATTAAGCCATTATTATTGTATATAACTCTAAAAAAAAATTCATCAAAATTCTACTACAAGGTTATTGACTTTTGAGAAGTCAAAAATATCAAATTGTAAGTAATAATCATAATTTTTATAGAAAAATATTTCATGAATAAAAAAATATATCGTATTATTATAAGTAAACTTTGCCAATGATAAAATAGTTATTCAATCATCTTAATAGTAGTTGATGGTTCCTCTCAAATGTTTTTCTAAAACTTAATTCACATGTTTTATTTATCCATCAATTTGAGGATAAAAAGCCAAAGATAATTTTTTGTCTACCTTCAAAATTTTAAAAAAAATTCTTCAAAATCTAAATACAAATTACATCCCTCTATCTAATATAATATTCCTTAATAATCTATGATAGCAATAAATATTATCAAGAAAAAATTCAATTATTTCTTCACATGTAAATATTTTCATATATGGTACAAAATGTGCCATTTTGATGAAACAATCTATTATCATGATAAAAGAATCATAAAAATTTGAGACTAGGAAATACATGATAAAATACTTAGAAATTGAAGACCATGCTTATTTTAAAATAAGTCTCAACTAAAAAATTCTATAAGGTCAATGATAGAGAATTTTTAATCTTGAATCAACATTTTATAATTTTATAAAGTTTTTAATTGCCTTCCACATTTGAAACCACCAAAAATTCCTTGATATAAGCTCTGAAGTCTTGTTTTATTCAAAATGTCTTGTAGTTAAGAAGTTATGATGAGCTTGAAAAGTATGTAATCATGTTTTATCTTCTAGCATATATAAGCATCTTTTGAAATAGAATAGATTATTCTTGAACTCAAACTTAGAAGTATCATGAAATTTAGATAAAATATTCTTAATATCATAAATAAGAGGATCCAAAAACATACTTAATTAAACTTCTTTAAAAAAAATTGAATCAATTTTCAATATTGATTTCATTGCTTGAGAATGAAAGTGCTTTGGCTTCAAAAGAGTTATTTGTTATTAATTAAAAGTTACATCTTTATCTTTTGATATAAGATATGAACATTTAGAAAGAGTGTTTTTCAAATCCTATTATTTTTTTGGTTAATAAATAATCTTGAATTTAAATCTTAACAAAGATACACTGCAACAAATTTAGCAATAATTTAATATACATGTTGGTATGAAATACTTAAATTCTTATGATCTATTTATAATATATTGTATGGTATGATTTTCTATTTAAAAATACACAAGATACCTAATTTTAGAGAATTTAGCTTTAACTTATTGGCCAAGCTCCAATAAGTGATTTATTTTTATTATAGATAAAAAAATAAAGATATAATATAAAAATAAAAAATAAAATAAAATCTACTAGTAAAAATCTTTTATATTTAATAAGATTTGTATATAAGGATTTATAGAGAATTTGAAAATTTTCTAACATCCTTTGCTATACCAAATTATAATTAATCATTTGTCAATAAGTTAGATTTCAAATAAGCTCAAAGAAAATCCATAATCTCCTTTCAAAAATTCATATTTATATCATAATTTTATTATAGCTTCATATCTCTATCTTTAACATATATATAAAGTCTTCACTTCCAAAAACTCCTTTTCTTTGCATAAAATGCCCAAATTGTAGCAAAATCCTTTCAAAACATTTTTCTCCTACACAAGATTTTTTTTCTTCACAAACTTTAGAATATCATATTTTTTGATCCAACTGTTCAATTTTTTAAAATTTTCTAGGAAATATAGCATTTATCCTTAAGATTTACCATAAAAAAATGAATTATAAATCTACTATATATTGTTTGGCATCATTGAGACCCTAGCAAGTGCTCTAAACTCCAATTACAAGCACCCAAATACTATTTTCTTCACATCTCAAAAATCCAAAATCCAAATGCTACAAAATTTTGGATGTAGCTTTACAACATAATAATATACATTTGTAAAAAAAATTAGCCAAAGATTCATCCAAATGCCTAACATATGGCTAGAATTGAATCCTTCATGAAATTAAATTATTGACAAACTTTAATTTGGAAATGCTATATTCAAGCAATCATTGCTCTTCTAAATCAACTCCAAGCCATTTTCTTTTTGTATGTAAATTATAGTCCTTTGAATCAAATTTTCAATTGTACAATCCGATCTTCAAAAGTCCTTCATACACATGTGCTATGCTCCAAAGCGTGATAGTAGATACAAAATCAACACCTTAACTTTGAGTACCTATATCTTCTTCACAAAAACTCCAAATCACACAAAATTTTCACTAAAACCATATCCAAAACCCTAATTTTGATGATCTTAACCTTTGGTGTTCAAATGGCTTCAAAAGAGTAACCCTAATCCCTAATAAGGCCTCAGGCAGCCTCCTTGAAGTCCATTGGGCATGATTTTTAGCCAATAAGAATGGAGATTTTTATCATCCATCTCCATTCATCCATATGGTTGGTTTAGATATTCCTTTTTACACAATAATCCTTCTCTAATCTTTTTTCTAATAAGCTTTATAAAATATGTGCCCTAAACACCAAATATAAGAAACAAAACAAGATTTTAAGAGTCACCAATGTCTAATAAAGGTAGATCTAAATATATAAAACCTATTATCAATATAAAATCAACCTCAATTATAGCCCTTTTAAACTAACTACTTCAAAGTAGTAATCTAATCACATTTTGTAAGCAACTAAAATCTAATAACACGGCTCTCACTATATTGTATAGTAAATTATATGTTAGATATATATTTGCATTATTTTCACATAGTAGCCAAACCACAACATGACAACGGTGACTAGACTTGAAGCAACTTCTAGATTATGTTTCCATTCTATTGTATTATACTTATTAATTTTTAAATTTATGTTTTAGGATTTTAAAATATAACTCTTTGTTTTTGATTTCTCGATTCTAACAAACTATTTAGAATATAAATATACATAATGAAACTATTATAATATTGATTTAGAAGTAAATAATGTAAAACTTTTAAAATGCTTTAGTAGTTTAAAGAAAAAAATAACAATCTCTTCAATCTTTTTAACAACTTGGTTCTAATATTTTTATAAATAATCTAATATACATATTCAATTACTAGTTTAAAATATCAAATAGGAAATATATTTTTTATACAAAACAAATAAAAAAATAGGTTCAAAGACTAATCATGTTAAAGCATAATAAGATAGACAAATTATTATCTTAATTGTCAAAACATTTGCAATTTACTTAATAAAAAAATCTTTAAAAAAGAATTGACATAGTTGAGGATATTTTTGATACACTTTTATTTACATTACTTTAAATGTAGAAGTTTTATGTTTATACTTTTCATGATTTGTTGCATTATCTATTGGACAAAGTGTTTTTAAAAAAGATTTCTATTAAAGATTTTTGTTTTGACTTTTAAATGTTTCTAAAAAGTTCTTAAAGTATTGTAGAAGATTCAAGAAATGTTTTATAAACTATTAAATACTCTAAAAGAATCTAGAAACCTATTTCATGGACATTTTTCTTCCAAGCCACCATTTTTAGTCATTTATAACTTTTTATCAGCAGCTTAAAAAAAAATGTTTTGAATTACAAATATATGTAAACAATAACTATTTTTTACTATAATTATTTACTTTTGTTAATATAATACTCTATTATATGCACCACTATTAGGTTTGATTTAGAGTATAAATGTAATGGGCACTCCTAATCAAATCAATGTGTGACAAACATTGATTTTTCCTTGAATTAGAAGTAATAAATTTTGAATAATATTAAAATTAAATTGATATAATTTTCATAGTAAAATGTGTAGTTTAAAATATACTAGTACTTCTATTTTTAAGAACAACATAAGAGCACTTCATTCAATAATCAAACAAACCAACAAAAAAACATATATATTAGTTTTACTGATTTGAGGTTTGATGACATTCTACTAAACACTCAAATCCAATGTATAACAAAGCAATTGTGTTTAATATCAAAGCTCATTACACATTACTTGATTAGCATCAAATTTCTAAATTTCAATAGAAGCATTCAACTTCAGAAATATGTACAGATTCAGTGAATCGGATTAATGACATAAAAGACACAATATTATTGATTGGGTTTTCTGAAATGGTGCATTTTAACTTTATTGCTCGGTGATTGAATCACACAACACTGGTGAATGAGATAATATCTTTAAATAAGCATTTTAGTATTTATCGATTACTAAGTTTCTTCTCACTGATTCCGTTGTGGAGACCAACATTTAATATGTAGCTCACAAGATACTCTTCCAATTAAGTTCGTTCGGTTGTGGATAAAAACAATCACTGTTGCTTGACGAGGCATAACACTGAATTCCTCATGACACAACTTCTGATATACAACCTGATTGATCACAGACCTGGAAACTGACTGCAGCCTCTACGATTGCCTTTTCCAACATAAAAGCAAATAAAATCTGTTGTGCTTGGGTCACACAGATAGGCAACATGTAGTGAGCAGAGGGAAGAAAATAAAATTAAAGAAACTTTGCATTCAAAGTACTCAAAACCAAGTGTAGGCCGTTCTATTTCACAACTCTTCAGCATAATGCATAATGCACCATGCCTTTGGACTCAACACACCTCCTTAGTCCTACAATTATCGACATTACTCACAATTGCTCCAGGTTACCTTGCATGATGCTACAACACTTCCACTCCAGGAGAGGATCTAGGCGCTCAACAAGGGAGAAGTTTCCTCCGTGGAGGGAAAGTGCGGCTAAATAGGGGAAGAGTAGTCGATCGTCGATTAAGGATTGATTATTTTGGTCATGTACAAAAAAAAACATGAAAAATGAAAAGGAAAGAAGAGAAGCGAAAGCTCTGGTTCAGACAATAGCTTGGCTCCCTTTAGATTCGAGACCCTCTGCTGGTAGGCCTTCTGCCATTGCGTTGGTACCTAATCTTTCTTCAAGTGCACGAGCACCTCGCTCCCTGGATTCAAAAAAAAACGCTCAATCCATCTCAACATTGTCTTTAGTTATAGAACCAGCACACCACTAGAACTTCAGTACACGAAGAAATCAGCTGGATTCATTTGTTGTGTAAAAAGCTAGCTAAGAGTTGATGTACCTTCGCCTGCTAGCCTCAAAAGAATCTGAACCTGGAAGAGGTTTCCCGAGTTCAACGCTTGGTCCTTCATTAGATGTTTGAATTCTCTGCCGGCAGAAAATTCTCTCGCAGATTTTTGCAATTGTATCGACGAAGGGCCTGCAATAGAATCATTAGGATATCCACTCAGTATTACAGTACTAATTACAAGACTTCGTTTACCCAAAAAATTTGCATACTAAGATTCAGTTTAAGGAGACAAGATGGTAAACAGCTACATTCATCACCCCAACTCTTTAAGGGGTAGACGTTTCTATATCACTTATCCAACCAAGAATAGCAACAAGAAGTCCTTCCAATTCATCAAGAGATAAAATTAACATCCCGAAAATTGTTGGTCAGAGGACATACTGTACGGGTGATGGGAAGAAAGTTGCGAAGGAAAATTCAGCACTCGAGTCGCCTTTGAGTCCAGCCTCAGGCTTCCTCTGGAAGTAACGAAGATATATCCAGGCTCCGTAAGTTCCAAACACAATGAAAGGTACGAATTGAATTGGCTCCGCCGAGAGAAAGCTGCTAACGATCGAAAAGATAACGAATAGAGAAGGAGACCACTGCAACCAGAAATTACACCACGGTTGTTAGGAACATCTAAGCAGAGGGTTCCACCAATCATTCCCTGTTAGGCCTCATTTGAAGAGCCGTCTGGAAGTCAAAACCAAAGCAAATTAGGAATATAGCTAACCTTTGCACGCAGTTTAAGGGCCGGTATTTCTTGTTCTGGACTGATCTGCTTCACTGCAACCAGAAACCCAGCCAACACTCCATGGAACCCTGATATTGGCGCATATCTGCAAGATGTCACCGAAGTCAGTCAAAATCATTAAACCAATTTAGGTGTTAACAAAAGTAAAGCCACACCCTAATAATTGAGGGTCCCTACCACTTCTACCAACTCGACTATGGGGATGGGACAGCTACGCAGAAACAAAGATCCACTTCGCTATTTCCTCATCTGGTACCATCATTCATCCGCTGGAGCTTCCACTTCTATCAGCTTCTCCAAGAAAAAGTGGCAATTCTACTCAGTATCAACAAGGTCACTAGTAGCTCAATGCCTGTTCTCTGGAACAAATTAGATGAACCTAGTTTTCAACAAAAACGCAGGGTGATTGCCCAACTTACAGATAATCTCCTCGTCTTGTAGTGAAATAAAGAAAAATAGCAAGGGCAAAGGTACTTGCACAAGTGAAGAGATTGACAAAGACTATGAACTTGATGAACTCCCTTGAACCCCAGAAAGGCTCCAAATGCTTTCCGGCAAGAAGCAGAGCAAGAACGCTCGCTCCCAACTGCACAGAATGAAGAAAATCTTGCGTGAGGACTGAATGAACTGAAACCAAACAAAATAAAGAGAAGCTCATAATAAGCACAGCGAGTAATGCATGTGGCCAAAATAAAGAGAAGCTCATAACATGCATTACAAAAACATCACGAATTTTCTTCTCAATTTGAAAGAGGATCGAAAATTTCTACAAAGTTGTATTTGCGCTAGAAAGTCCAACAGTAAGTCAAGGAGTTCGTAACAGCTGTAGACGATCAACATTAATCAAGAGCTCTGTCACAATCCAGAAGAAACTCATGAGATATAGTGAAGAAGCTTACACCAAAAATAGTTGTCTCAAGATAGCCTGCTGTGATAATATTCCAAACAAATGGGATAAATCTGCAGACAAAATGCGGAACAACTGAGCAATTACTCAAATCTACCTGAGACAAATAACTAAAGAAAGCATGAGTGGCCGCAGTACATATATCTAATGTTTGAATTTCAGGTCAATCTAATAGCAGATTCTTTAGAAACAAGAGCTTCTGGATTGAGATAAACTGCCACGAATCTTCCAACATACATGCACAATTCATCCGTCAATACCCAACTCGCCCTGAAATCTTAAACAAGGTCATGACCAGATAAAAGACTGGACAAACTATTGAACGTCTCAGCAGATAGCAGGCCTTCTGCAATATCACTTACTTTCCAGGTATCAAGGAGAAAGTATCTGAAATCGTATGAGGTAAGAGGACATTGGCAAGGTAGCCCGTAACAAGAACCACAGCAAGTCCTTTTGAAAGTCGGGTAAAGCCTGAGAAAAGGCCACCAGTCTGTATACAAGGGACAAACAAAATCTTGTATCAGATTTCAGTGCAATTAGTATGTGCAATTAGGCCGTAATGACATTATGACGAAAAGAAAAGAACAGAAAAGAAGAAAAGAAACAAGTAAATAAACCCTAAGCCCTGGGCAGGACGATTTCTTTCAGAAATCGTTAAGTTGTCTGGAAGCACTTAAAAACCTGATCAGCTCAGAATCAATAATAACTACTTGCATGTGAAGCCAATCTTGAGCAGCTCTTAGACCAGAACTGCAGAGCTCGAAGTATGTACCGAGTATTCCGAAAGGGTAACAGGGAGTCCTTAACCTCAACGATACAGCTGAGTAATGACGTCAAAGAATAGAACATGCCTTCAGAATATGGGCTTCTGGCTGGGGTTAACTAATTCTCCTAGAGAACACTTCGAGGCAACAATCAATGTGGACTACATCACATCTGCACAGGGCCCTTTAGACAAACCCTACCTAAATCTATTTTACTATTCTAGAATCGGCGAAAACAAGCTGGGAAAAAGCTCGGCTACCGAAAGAGTTTCAGTAGCTTAGGGTTCACCACATATTCCGAAACCAATGTCATCCCCTAGTGCGATCATCACGTAAGAGGAATAATGCAGGAGAAAAGACGCAGCGAATCTTTCACAAAAAAAGGGGGTGATGAGAAACCCTTGATAGACACAACGACGCAATCGCCATAAAGAAAGAAACCGAGTTCAACTGACAGAATCCAATCGAAACGAGGTAAGAGACTCAATTGAAACTCTGCAGAAAAATGCATTACCCCTGGGATTGCAGCAGGAGTGCTCATTGTGCCGATCCGATCCGCTGTAGGAGACTGCCAGAAGAAGAAGTTGGATTGGAAGATCTGCCGGAAGCTAAGTCAAGGACCCTTCGATTACACACTTCTCCATCCCTTGCGAAAAGAGAAAAATACTTTTCTGCAGAGATCTCTTCTTTGATATTCCACGGCTAAGATCCCATGTTTTTTTTGAACGAATGGCTACAGTTGTTTACCTCCAAGTGTAACATATATCGAATGCAAATTCTTCCATCTTTTACATTCACGTATTTCCGAAGGCGAACCCATCTTTTCCCTGTTTTCTTTTTATCTCCCACATGGCCACCGACACTAACATATGCATATCCTGATCGTGAAGTGTCGTCTCGCTTGGGTCTCTTATTCGATGTTCAGGGTTTGGAAAGTGACGTTGGTAGGGGACAAAACTAGTCTTGTTGAAAAGTAACTTTACTCCTCATGTTAGAACTGCAACAAGTTTGGCTGCCAACCACTCGTTGTGATTGAAGATCTGCTCCCCCACTTTGTTAAAGAATATTTGAAATTGCGCCTTCTTCATGTATGGTAGTGACCTTGGGTGCAGCGTTGAATAGTGAGTTGGAAGAGGAGTAAGATTTATGTGCACGATAGCGTTTTATTGTTGCAATTTTCGAGGGTATTGAGCATGGAAAGTTAGAGTATCTGGTCTGTGGAAGGATTTTGAGATGCATGCATGCACAGCCAAGGTCCGACAGGATTATACAGGATTCTCTTGCAAATTAGTTTCAAACCCTAAAGTAGAAATGTTTTTGAATGTTGTTCTGGTAGCTTCGATCTGGTGAGTTGGATTCGACCGGTGCAATCTGTATTTGCTATGCTTTCAATTGGGTCTTTGTGTCCAGATTTTACGGAATCTGGATCTAATTCCACTTGAGTCAAGAAGAGAAGACAGTAGGGGAGAGAGGTCACATGATTTTTTGGTTGGAAGTTCTGGTCACCTCAGGCTTCGCGTCTTAGAAGCTTTAGTAGCTACTGCATGTGAGTACTCACTAGTATACACTTTTAAATCTTATCATGCCCCTGTTGAGCTGGGGGGAAAGCCTCTCAACCATCTGGCCTACCATCCGGGTCTTTGCACCGGCGACAGATTGGCGGAGATATCAAAATCGTTGGACGCTGTGTGAGTTTCTCTGGAGATAATCGTCTAAGTTGCAGGGCGCCAGATTCTTGTGCAGTTCCTTCTGTTCATCGTAGATTGTGGAGCTCATAGTTAGTAGTTCAGCGAAACATTTCGCAGAGTCTGCCAGTCATTTGTCATTGCGGTGGGTGAGTCGCTTCTATTGATGCATTGCGGGCAATAATTGGGAGCGTAAGTTTCGACTTTTATTTGCTTGTTTATTCCTTTTTTTTTCTTTCGAATTTGGCTTTGAGTAGATATTTTTTGATTAGGGCTAACTGGAGTTTGTTGTTCGAGGTTGAGTATTTACAGTCAATTCAATTCATTACAGGCATCGTCACAATGTCGTTGATGATCTAATTAATTGCAGATTTATCTGAATCGTTTTGATAACTTTACACAATGAAGGCCTCTTTCACGTTCAGTCTTTATTCACATGTAACAAGCCTGATTCATGCGAGGCCGAAAGTAACATTGAAGTTGTGTTGATAACACTCTTACTACATGGGGTGATGTGTCAACAGCTTCTCAGACAGTCCTTGACCACTGCAATAGAATAGCTTTGAGAATTGTTAAGCCTAGAGCATCTAAGTTATCTCTTCCAGTTTGCTAAGCCTGGACATTGAACTTGCAGCGTGCAGACTAAACGTTTGGGTGGAGATGTGAAAGACGCAGCCAGAGGCGATGACAAACTATGCGGCTATCTTAGTTCCTCTTGCTAGTGAGCTAGAACATAAAGCAGCAATGGCCATCAATATTCCAACCTTTCTGGGTCAATAGCTCAATATCTTCAATTCATCACAACTATCGTATTCGATTCACCTCTCAGCTACCAAAGACACATATAACTCAGAAAGACATGGTTACATCACTTCATGCTTTGGAACTTCGAGTTATCAACTTCCGTCCACGAAGATTGCATCCCTAGTTGGTTCCATCAGTATACCTGTATATCACAAAAAACGAAGCCTTGTAGACTTGTGGTGGCCTGAATTTTAGTTGAGTCAAGGGAATTATATCACTTCCATTGAGAAATGACGAGACCGAGACTAAAAAACTCGTGAGTAAACAATGGTGCCCGGAGGTAGTCACATCCACCTATTGAATCCAGTGCAATTGTTTACGGATCAATCATTTCTCAACACTCGTTCGTTGCACTCAAAAAATCCGTATTTTCAAGTACCACAGCATCTGGTTCCATTTTCAAGAGGAAAGCACCTGCCATGATTATGAATATCATACAATGCAGGAAATGAATCTGCTAAAAACTGGATTTCATAAACTCATTCTTCGCATTAGCTTCTAAACCTTCCAGAACTACATCTCTCTCAATGAAAGATATACTTGCATTCCATTCAATGCCTGCCTACTACTAAATCAAACTCTGAAATCATTGGAAAATACGAAAGAAGATACGAAAAACAGGAAATCAGATCTGCACAACCATCAATTGTCAAAGACTTGCCAAAAACTACTCAAGAGATGAGGATGGGATGCAAGGGAATGCAGGCTTGATGGGGCACACATGTAGTGTTGGATATATTGGTGAGAATTCCATTCCCTGCCAAACCCCTCAGGAGAGGAGAGAAGGTGGACTGATGGGTTGAGAAAAGCGGTGATGGGCTGATGGCAAATGTTTGTTGGTTTGGGTGATTGTTTGGAGGTGTTGGTCCAGGTATGTTTGAGGGGCATTTGGGTGGACATGGGATGGCAGTGTGTAGACAGACAAGTATGAGAATTGTGGCATGTGTGATAGGTATCTTGTGGAAGTAATCTTGGATCGGGGCTATGGTGGGGAGAAAGAGGCAGCTGATATGAATGAGCTTTGCTGACAGGCGATTCCATGTCATAGGGTGAGTGCATTATGACAGGTTTGGACAGCCCAGGGACTTGTGTGTTGTGCAACTTTTGAGTTGAAATATGTTTCAGAAGTAGAGAGAGTCTTTGTCTTTGTCTTTGTCTCATAACCGATCCTACAGCAGAGTTGGATGATACTCCCTTTTGGCAGTGTGTGTTTGTTTATCCCAGCCGTGGCCAGTGAAAACAACACCTCATCTCACAACATTTGCTGCAGAATGAAGAAACTGTGTGCATTCAGGATCCATCAGCGAGGAGGGGTCTGTGCAAATGGGGGGTGGGGAAAAGTAAAGTAAAATTAACAGGTTGTGGTAGGTCCCGGCGAGATTTGAACTCGCGTTACTGGATTCAGAGTCCAATGTCCTGACCGCTAGACTACGGGACCTCGCCGCAGCACTCCCGGTGGGACTCGAACCCACAATCCCCTGATTAGAAGTCAGATGCCTTATCCATTAGGCCACGGGAGCCGCGCTCGAATTGATGTCTCTTCCCTAATCCATCGCAAAACTTAAACAATTATTCGACGCATGCGTCACCTCCACGTTTTCATTTTGAAACATTCCTCCTCTTATCAACATATTTTTTGGAAGAGTTTTTGGTTGCATATTTATAAAAAGAAAATTCAATCTAAAAAACTATCAATAATCCTATCTACATATATGTAGTTGGATCAACATTAATACCAACATTTGTAAACACTTTTTGATGATTAAATTATTTCCAATTCAACAGATTCTGATTTTTCGAATTCATTTCAGTTTTTAATTCTTTTATAGTAATCTTTTCGATTACAGACATTCATCTTTTTTTCTTTTTTTTTTCTTCTTTTGTTGAGTTCATAATAATATGGACATGCTTTCATTACATTGTTTTCAAATGCAGTCTTAAGTATTATAAAAATAAATAAAAATCTTATGTACATGTATCATTTTAAATAAAAGTCTACACAGAGAACTGAAGAAACAAACCTTTGAGGTTTAGTGACTTTCGAAGATTTAGAAGCTGTACACACAAGTTAAGCAACATGCATGCAAAGTTCAAATTTGTAATGCCATTTGTATACATATCCACTTGCACAGAAAACCTATTTTTGGCAAAAATTACGTTACAAAATTTCCTGAAATTTTACCAACAATTTTAGGATATATGATAGAGTTCATAGGATTATAATTTTAATGTCCATGTCATACAATAACAATTTTAAGGGGTGGATAACAAGATATACAGCAGTTAATTCACAATTGCATGGTGGGTTTAGAATTCATTGCATATGCGGTTTCATAATTTTAAAGTCTAGGCCACTAAGTAAAACATTTAGAGTAACATTTGTAAGATTATAAGTACAAAAGAGACAATGTAAGATATAGGGTATAGAGTTTGAAACTTAGGAGTTAGGGCATGCAATTTAAGGTTTGTATTTTAAAATTTAAGGTGTAAGACTGTATATTTCACATCTTAGGATTTATGGTTTAAAGTTTGGATTTCTAGATATAAGGTATAGAATGTATATTTTGAATTTTAAAAGACACTTACATCAAGGGTGGAAAACTTAGCATTGAAGTATGTGAAGAAATAATAAATGTTAGAATTCATTCAAAATCAATTTAAATTAAAATATGTAGAAACATAATAAAATTAAAATATGAATATAATATAATGAATATAGTCCTTATTAGGTGGTTATTTCTCTTGAAATTTAGTAATTAATAATAAAAAAATATTAATTAAGTTTCAAAATATAATAATAAAATATTACAAAAAAATAAAAATAAAATTTTATATCTTTAAAAAGAAACTAAAATAGAAATTGGATGTAAAACAACTTTGGTTGGTCAACCTCAACATAGGTTATTTATTAGCAAGAGTTGCTTTAGCATAACAAGATCAAGATTTAATTTTTTTTATCTATGCTACTAAATTCATTAACAAATAAAATATACAATCTATTGTTGTTTTAGGACTCATCTCAATAATTACTTTAAAATTTTTGATATTGAATTTTTTATCATATTTTTCTTAAATTATAATCTAAATATATATATATATATATATATATATATATATATATTTATTATTATCTTATGTCAATTTATTGTGGTGGGCAATCAATGTTCGTTTTTACAAATAGCTAATGGCTTTAGTCTTCCTCCTATTCACATTGGACTTTTAATTTTCTTTTTGCATTGTTGGATTGTGTATATTCCTTGTATTCTTGGGCTTTTGCCCTCATTGATGCTCCCAAATCTACTTGCTTGTATGTATGTCATAAATAA